CTACTAGATGCAACACCCACAGAAACTTTAACATTTTTGAATTATACCATTTTAATATTAAGATTATTTAGTGTTAAATTTACATGATATGGTACATAGCAAAGAAATGAGAAGGGAACAAAAATCTACTAACTAATTTCTTGAAATTTGGAGAAATTGAAAATTTTCTTTTCTTAACTGACCTAATTCCGCCACAAATTTTTGTCAAACTTGTGAAGTGTTGTGATGCAAATTAGTGATCAACTTTGAATAACAAAAAGAGTACAATTAAATAATGTTAAAACAACTCAAAACTGTAAGCAATAGAAACTAGAAAAATCCAACCTTAAATATAACAATAACAAATATAAATAGTGGTAGAGGCCACACGCATCTACTGTGGGTTGGCCCAAGTGGCAAACCATCAAGTCCTGAAAAACAGAGATTAGGACCATAGGAAGAACCGTAAGGACATTAACTGCTATTTAATTCAACAAACAAAAAAAGAAAAAAAAGAAACCATTTGTTCCAAAGTCATGATCTGTTGGTCAGTCGTTCAAATGCACCACAATGACAATTGATAACAAATCAAATCAGCTCAGAGGGAGCTCCGCTGCTGAAATACCTTCACACCCGATGCCTCCTTCCTAATAATGCCTATTCCCCCCCAAAGCCAGTGGAGAAAAACACCCAAAGCTGGCGGTTTAAACCAAATTCTTGACCATTAAAAACAAGGAAAAAGAAAAGCTACGAATGACTTATGCACCATGAACAAAGTGGGTATATCACTTTCTAACCGACGAAATAATGCCGACAGACCTCCATTACAAAGAAGAGTTGTAAAAGAATATACATGCCCTATCTCAATAAAAGCTTACGCCCCCTAACTCCCACTTGTTCCTCTCTTCTTTTATATCTAAATAACTTAAGACTTATGGGGCTCTGTTAAATCCTCCTCTCTGTCTTGGCCGCCTCGACCTCCCAAATATAATTCTGCGGAAACCACGTCCCGGTCCACCGGTAGCAGTAGAACCGAGACCTGCACCACGATGCATCCCAAAATCAATCTCATCTCCCCTGTTATACTCCCTATGATACCTACTACGAGAATAGAGACCACCATCCCGTCCAAAACCAAATGCATCCATAGAAAAGAAAGTATCATCTTCCAAATTCTCATCCATATCAGAATCGTACTCACTATAGAACCCGCTTTGGTTTGGTTCCAACACATAATCCCCAAGCACAACAGCTCCAGGGATTGATGATATAATCGTGCTGATCACATCACTTCGCTCCCTCTCATGCTCAAATCTCTTCCACTTTTCTTCAAGCACAGGGTCTACTTCTCGCGGTCGTGCCAACGGATGATTTGCTCTAACATGCTTCTTCAGCTCCTTGTAACGTCCAACAAATGGGCAATTATCCTGCATGCAGCTTCTCTTCTTAGAATTAAGATACTTCCGTGCTGGCTCCACCACTGTCCATCCTTTAACCTGTCCCCTACAAAGGGGACATAGCAGCTCTGGCACTTCAGCCTTCTCACTCGGCTGCCCTGCGTCCAAATTGACGCTTAAATTTTCTACCGACATATTCAATTGTTCTGGATTTTGAGTTGATGTTACTTTTGTGTAGGCTTTCTTGTACTGATCAAGACAATTGGAATATCGACGACCAGTTGCACACATATAAGGCCGGCAACCCTTGTTATACGAGGAACAGAGAAGAAGCACAGCATTGTGAGGGAACTCCATACAGACTGAGCAGGTAGCATCTTCCCACTCTTTCTTCTCTGATCCTTTGCAATTCTTCTTCTTTAGGTAAACATTTTTCGCAATTTTCAACGGGCTAGATGGCAACACATATGAGTTTGCCCTAGATCGTCGGGAATCAGAGTTGCTTGGAATCTTTTTCATAGCCATTCACAAATTGAACCTGAAATCATTAGGGTAAGTGGGGGCATCAGATCACTCAACAGTGGACCTCTCAAGGTTTACACGAAATCAAACCTGCACCTGAATTTTATTACAATCTAACATCGAGATGAGAAAACCCACACCATAGGATTTAAGTTTCATGCCTAGGTCTTCATAAGCATCTAACTTGCAATCATCTTTTGGTCTTAAATCACGTAACAAATGAATAAAAGCACCAGGAAGAAAACCAAGTAAATAGACAATTACACAATAATATCAACCCTCCCCATAACGCTGATAAACATGATGAAGCAGGTTGACTGAAACCACAAGATAACTTCAGACATTAAATAAACAGCATAACCCAAATAGTAAATGCGCCATTCCTTGACAAGTCCAAAAGAAAATTCTCTAATAGCAAAGTTATGGAACTGAACCACTAAAAAGTACATTTGTTTAGTCTTAAGAGAAAACACCTCATGGATTACCACAACCACAAGCTATAAAACTGTTAGGTCAATTACAACATTTAAAATTATAAAAAAAAAAAAACAAGTTGATGTTTTTAGTCTCTGTCCATATGAATGATCAAACCCCCTCAACCAACGCGGTACTTCGAATTCACAAATTGTGTGCTTGCCTTTCAATCGTCACGTTAACCTTGGTCTCTACTTCACCTCAAAATTCATGCAAATATGTCCTTAAAAGACTACAACAATGGATAAACTCCTTCAAACATAACATATTTTCAATTTCGGAACTTCGTGACTTGATAACTTTTCACCAATCACCATAACAATAAAAAGTGTGTTTCCTTTTTTCCTATATATGTTGTGTGTGTTTTCCCTAATTTGGACACAACAGTCAGTCACTCCTTCACATTAACTCTTCGACGCTCTTCACCCTCCTACATGTGGGCAAGGATTTAATACCTACCTTGCTCAAAACAAATTAGTAATCTTGAAGTTGGGAGAAATTGGTGATGCCAGAATCTGAACTTGATATTAATTGCAAAGCTAACTATGCCAAATTATAACATGTTAAATTATTCTACTCAAAGGCTAGTTAATTTGTTTGTTTAACCAAATTTTCTATAATACTAATATTATCATGTAATCAAGGTCTACAACTCCTTTAATAGACCATAAGTGGAGGAAAAATAGACTCTAATGCATATATACGAAAGCACTCAATACCCAAAAAAGGGTCCATATACAATATACATCAAGGTGTAAGGATAATTGAAGGGTTTTGCAAGAAATGCACTAAATGTGACTTCCATAAACATTTAAGGGAGGAGAAAAAAATTCTGAGAGTATGAGAGAAATATAATATCGTCTTTTTCTCATTAAAAATCTATCATACTTGGGACAATAATGGCAAGTTTTTCACTCCTAGTCCTCAAACTTCATTCTAATCAAGGATCAAGAGCGCAAAACTTACTAAATTGAGGACGAAAGAACTAAATGAGCTTCACTAAGTATAATGCAAGGTGAACCTCCCTCTTCCTTAGAAGACTCTTGTTCAAGGGGCATTAAAATGAGCTTCACTAAGGGGTTCCAAGTTGAAAACGCTATTGTGCAAAAGATATTCCTTAGATGGGCTCTATACTTTTGTACATCTATGTAATTTTGAAATTAAAAGGTATTTGTTCAATATAATTTTGCAAACTTCTTAACAAAACAAGATATTTGACACCACATTTTATTCATTATACTATTATAGTTCAATAACTTGAGGACTGGGATTCTACAATTTTATAACATGTTAACAATAAATTCAAAAAGAATGTAAGATACAATTATGATAACATGTTACTAATAAATTTTAGATTCTGATGTAGTATAGTTTTTGTCATGCCCTATAGCCTGTAATGGCTTAAACCTTAAGGTACTGCATCTCTTCACAGTGTATTAAATAAAAAGATACTTTACATAGTGAGACAACTTAAGCAGCCTTCCAATCTTCAAATAAGAGTGACAGCACAGAAATCTGAATAAAAGTACGTACTCCCCCCACTGGTGGCGCAGGCAGCCATAAATTTTCAGGCCAGAAAATTTAAATATTAGGCAGAATGGAAGGAACAGATGATCAGACAGGAAAAAAAGTAAATAAATAACCACAGCTTCATATGAACAAAATGTGCCACCCCGGTCCCCAGTTTACATTCGAATTGTTGTTAGTATGTAAAAATATTCTTAAATCTATGTAAGTACCACGCAATCAATATAAACACAATGCCTGACATCAATTTTTTCGTGGTAAAATAAAAACAACTTTAGCAGATATTGGGTGTAATTCCGAATCGCACAGAGTAAAAACAACGAGGAAATAACTAAAGATAACGAACCCTAAAAAAGGGGGGAACGTGGAATTTAACACTTGTGAGTGTGAAACACAGTACGATCGTTAATGTGACAACCAAACACGTAAGAGGAGACCGAGAGAATGATAAAGGATCCGTGCTCATCAGTGAAGCAATTGCAAAAGTAATGTGAGAGAGAGCGCGAGAAATGAGATCGGAAAAGAGAATTGGGTGGGGAGAGAATTGGAGTGAAGCGTACCTGGATGAGAATTGAAGACGCCGCCGATGAAGGGAAAAACTGGAATTGTAAAGTGAGATGAAGAAGAAGAAGAAGAAGGAGAAGAAGAAGAAGAAGAAGAAGAAGGCGGAGAAGGAGAGCGGAGGATCGAGGCCAGGCGCTCTCGCTTTTCCGGAGGGTTGGGTCGGGAGTTGCGTGCCGCTTCAGGGGATTTCCCCTTTTTTTAATGAAATTCGGGTCAATTTTCACGCCACCATGAAGTCACGGTGTTGATACTGGAGAAGCCAAGCCAAAGCCACCCACGTGACCTGCACCTGCACCTGCTGCCACCGAGAGGCTCTAAAATTTCTTAATATGGATTCCTTTATTGGGCCTCAGGCCCTGATTGTGAAGCCCGCCCGCCTGCTAATTTGGCCCACTCTTGATTTGGACTCCAAGCACGTAACCAGAGAAATATTATATATTTTTTAGAAAAATTATAAGTTTCGTCAAAAGTCGTGATCTAAACTTTAAAAAGAGAAAATTTTTAATTTTTTAATTTTTATGTCTAGGTACCGACATTCAATTTTATATCGATCTTAAACCCATTAGACATTTTTTCATTCTTAATATCACTTTTTTTAAGATTAAAAAAAGTCGAATTATCAATTCAATATATTATTTGATTAAATACTCGAGCACGAGTTTTAGTAAGCTACGGAATGTCTTGTCAAATATTCAATATGATTCCACAAGATCTAGTTTCGTTCAAGTAACGTCTTTAGCACGACATTTTGAATCTCGCGTGTCTACCATTTCACCACAAAGACATCTTGAAAGTGAATCATATTCTATGAATAGATATTTTATAGAATATATGATAAAGGTGGAGTGTTAGAGTATTTCTATTGCTCAACCATGTCATATAGGTCCAAGTGTGATGTATCGAGCATGTAAATTGCATTTTCTTTTTATATTTTTGATCTATCATATATGTAAATATATATAAGCTCATTTTAGGTAATATTGATATAAGAATAGTTTTTAATATTGTTTCATTATGTTTAATTGTTTAGATTTAACCTTTCAATATAGTTTATATATATACACACACACACTACAAGAATTCCAATAAATCGTTGAAATTTAAAGTAGATGAAAGACAACGTAAAATTATTTTGAAAGTCAAGTTTGACCAAAATTCAAGTCGTGTTGTGCAAGATAATCAAACTTGATGGATGGAAATAAAAATATAGAAAGTTCAAAGTTGAAGAACGGAGAGCAAAAAGACTGGGCAACTACCTTATATTTATATATTATATAATTTTTACAAGTAGTGCAAATGTTTCTTCTTTTGTACAATTACATTACAACACACATTATGCCTAAATCAGCCAAGTAGCTATGCAAATTACAAAATAATAAAACAACTTAAATGAAAAATCATGACCCGAATCATCAAAATTACATTCCTCTTGTTTTCTGTTCTTAGCGAGGAAACTAACTAAAGTACAATTAACTAGAAGCAGCTCCGTTTCAGGGTTCTTGCATCAATGGCAGACAAACTAGTTACCTCCTTTGGAGCGTGTAGATTGAAATCTACACTTGAATGCCAATAATTACAGAAAAATGTCCTACGAGTTGAACTTTCACCGCTGAGATTGCACGAAGAACCAGATTCGGGTCCTCGTTCCTCGGCAAGCCAACTATAGGGTGTAACCAAGTCGGTTGACGTAAAAGCCTGTTTTTGATCCCAGAATATCTGAGGATGGAGTGTAACATATCAATCCAAATGCAATGTAATACAAAGATCATAGGTGCACATACGTGTAGTTTTTTAGCATCAAATGAAGTGCAGAAAATTCTACCTTGTAAATTCTTCACACTTTAATTCCTTCTGCCTGGCCTGTTGTAAGGAGATGCCGACCCTGATAAACTGGAAACTGGTCTTCTCACAAATGGATGATTAAGAAGATCAGCAGCAGCAGGACGGTCGCGCGGATTAACTTGTAGGCACTGCAGAATAAAATCCTGTCCATCTTTTGAGAGAGACTCGGGAACCGAAGGCGCTACACCTTTTCCGATCTTAAATAGTGCCTGCATATGCTGAATTCAAAGGATAGCAGTTTTAGAACCTCACGAATAAAGGTTATGCTTTCTCCTACCGTAACAAACAAGAGAAGTTTGAAAATCACTGATGGACAAATAAAGTACTGAGCTGCAAGTTTCAAAACCCCTTAAAAACCGAAGATTGGTAGCACACTTTGTGGGCCACTTTTAGCTTAAATGTTGTTGGTTTCATTATGTTTGGACTAGTTTTGCACACATAATTATATATTTTTGCAGAAATCAAGCAAGTCGGAGAAATTAAAGGAGTTAAACGAACTACATCAAGGAAGACATATTTTGAACCATCGCACCATGAAGCAAGTAGGAGTGGAAAAAATTGGAGCCTAAGACCTGCGGGGACAGCGTAGCGCCTTAATGTCATCTATAATCAAGCCATATCATCCGAGTGGATAGCGTTTCAACGCTGCCCTTGAATGCCTCAACGCTCCAAACATGGAGGGTCAATGCACAAGAATTTCTATAGAGTCTCAATGCCACAAGTACCACATATTAGGGTACAACGTCTCAACTATCACATGTTCTTATAAATTTAGAATTTGTGTGCCACGAAGGGTAGTTTCTGAAATTTTTCAAATTTTACACCCATTTGAGATAGAGAGAGCAGATTTGAGAATTGGAGGAGGATTGATCAAAGAGCTAGAGATTTAGACTTGTGATTGTGGAGATCGGGGACGATCGATCGACACGGATTTTTCTAATTTTGTTATGGAACTGAGATTTTGTTCTATTCTTATAAATATTAGTAGCTAAATTAGTTGTCTTAGGGATTGATGTAGCTACCGGATTTATTGAGTTAGATGAATTAATTTTACCTTTATTGGTTTGTTCTTAGTCTATTCGTGTATTTGTTTGTTTAATACCTTTAATCTCTTAATCACGGATTAATTGTTTGTAAATCTTAATCTTACGCTCAAGAGGTGGTTTATATTGGAACTTGAATGCATGACTGAGGTAGTTTTAAGATTGCGAGATTTAGGAGTACTTTAGAAGTTAAAAGAAAAAGACTCAAGGCCTTTGATTGTTAACGGAAAGGGATATTGGTTTCTTTAACGAGTGAGAAAATTAATTGTGGTTAGAAGAGATCTATATAATATGTGATTTTTTGAATTTACTGACTTAATAAATTCAACTGTTGAAGTCAATTTCCTAAGACTCTTTTATCATAGATTTTTTCTTAGTTTTTATTATTTGCATTGATTTTCTGGGTTGATTTAACCCATTGCTATTTGACGATATCGGTATTTACTTATCACTTTTATTAAAACTTGACTCATACACTTGCGGTTTAACTACAATCATATTGGTTTCAAGCTGTGAACTTTCAAATCCAACAAATAACAAAAACAAAGTTTATACATGGAGCCAGAGAAGGAGAATAGAGGTGTCACTTACACTTTCGAGTTCCGAGTATGGAAGCTTTCGAGTTAACATTTCTAGAACTGTACACCCAAGGCTCCAGATATCGGCCGGAAGACCGTATCCTTGGCCCTTCCCATTAACCACCTGCATAAATCACGGCATCATGGTGAAAACGTCTTTCAAATAAACTATAAAAGAACAATATACTTGATTCATTTTCTTGACTTTAAGGAAGAAGGCAAACCTCAGGTGCCATCCAGAATGCAGTTCCTTTGCACGATTTGACATCATTCAATTTTGTTGCCTGAAAAGAATAAAAACAATGGTTTCAAGAAACGAAACTCAAAAACTCAACCAGGCCAAGAACAGAAATAATAAAATGGATCGAGGAAAAACCTTTGCCAAACCAAAATCTGCAAGCTTCACAGATCCATTCACATCCACCAGTATGTTAGCGCACTTGATATCCCTTTAGACAAAAATGAAAATATCAGACTAAAAAATAAATTAAATAATTATCTATACAGAGAAAACAAAACAAAACAAAAAAGGCGCTCAAGGGAGAAAAGCAATCCATACAAGCATTAAGAAAAGATTTACTTTTTAAAAAAAAATAATAATAAGAACGTCACTGAACGAGAAATCTATAAAGGAGGGTTATGTTATGCTGTTGGACAGACTATATAAAATCTCCAAAAATAATTTTTAAAAATAGTAGAGCTAGACAAGGATGTTAATAATAATGTGGAATTAAATATATTCCAGAAATTAATTTAAACTATCGGATAACCGACTTTGGCTGCTGCCAGAATGAACAAGTGAACAACAAATAATGTTAAAAATCAGAGGGTGGTACAAGAAATGGCGAAAACTTATTGATTTTCTAACTAGGGAATCACATGGGGGGATCCAGAAACATGAGAAATTTTTCACAAGGAAACCAAAATAATGTAGCACTGAAGTCTCAGACTATGATCATATCAAGACTAATGATATGTGAAACTCGTTCAGACCATAGACCGATATAAAATAAAGTACAAAAGTTTTTGCATATCAATTACCAGTACTGCAAATTTGGAAGAACTTCATTCGCCACTACAATTCATAATCAATAACATAACAGATTCATTTGTATCACCTGTGAACCACATTTCGCTCATGAAGATACTTTAAACCAAACAGAATTTGTCTGGTATAATTAGAAACGTGGGAGTCCAAGAGATGAATCCTCTGATATAGGCTCATAAGGGAGCCTTGAGATACAAGCTCAAGGAAGATATAGAGTTTTGACTCATCCTGCAAATAAGAATTAAATAAAATATTAACTATCTGATGTGTGAAGTTTCAATAGTCGAGTAGTAAAAAATACAGAGATTAGAAAACTAGAGTAAATTACATATTAGATAACCGTACAAGGATCCATGATACGGCCTGATCTTAAAGCACAAATTTAAAAGAAAGAAGGAAGGCTGATTGGGAATGCGCACTCCAACATGAGATTTCATTTTTTGATTCATAATAACACATGCTCCATACCCAGCACAACAGTGCAGTGCAGTGCATCTACCACAATACTTCTAAGAAGATGGAAAAATAAAGTAGAACGAGATTGAACAATTAGCATGTTGTAAAGCTTGTACAATAGACCGCCTTACACATGGTAGGAAAAGTGCATGGGCGTCACATAATGAAGTAGCCATCAATGTGAACCTCGAATATCGAACATTTTAGCATGTCAAACTTGTATGCAGATATCAATTCAGGTAAAGCTTGGAATTCGCCCGTGATTCAGGGGGCAACTATTAGGACTCTACATATCCTTCGTGCATACTCAAGTCTAATTAAAATGTATTAGGTTATCAAAGAGACAGGGAGGAAAATCAGTAAACAGGAAATGTATTTCATTTCAAATAAAGCATATGCTAATAAAAGACTTCAAACAAGATACTTTAGTCTCTAGGTAGAGTTAGAAATAAATTAAAACCTGATTAACAAAAATAATTAAGCACTTCTTTTTTTGAACCACCCCTAGATGATTTCAAATGCCTAGTAACTTAGATTCTTCAGGATGGAGAAGGCCAGTACCGTATGCGTGCCGTAGTACTGGACTATGTTCTCATGCTGAAACTCACTTAGAAGTGCTATCTCCTGGAAGAAAAGGCAAATGAAGAAAGGAGGAAAGCAGGTTAAGAATAAGAGATTATCAAGGCTTCATTAGGAAGAGACTGATAAGAATATCATCAGATCATAACAAATGACTTTACAGTATGACAAAAATGTTATCGCGAACTAGTGTAAATCACCTGCTGAAGTTGATAGATACTTTGTCTTCCTTGACTGTCTTCATCAAGCAGTGAAACTTCCTTGAGTGCAAAAAAGGTCCCGTCCCTGCAGAAGAGAAATCAAATCAGATAACCAAAATACTATTAGAGCTTCTGACCAAGATTTTCTACGCAACGCAGATGAGTTTTCCGACCGAAAAGTGTGGTGGGGTTTTAAATGAGTTCTCCTTCCTATTAACAAAAGCGTATCAGCCACAGGGAAATTCTAGGTATAAAAACTATTGTCCTTTCCGATTCCCAGATTGAAAATGCACAGAGAGATCAATCGTGCGAGGCAAAGATTTTCCTATCCTAAAGGACCCGAGAGAAAATCAAAGTTGCAGGGAAAAAGAAGCTAAGAGATACGTGACATACTCTGAAATTGCTTCGAATACTGCTCCAAATGAACCGCGCCCAAGAAGCTTTCCCGTTACCCAGGATGTGATGATGGGTTTACATCTCAAATTGGGTGAAATATTTGCAGGCTCCGTGGTACTGCTCGAAGAATCGTCGTCATTCGAAGTGAAGGAACCCCAATTCGATTCCATGATCGACTCCCCGTGCCGGACTAGATTTCCTTCTGCTTCTCTTTCAAGTAATGGTTCGCTGCGCTCTCGTACTTCATCCTGTTTTTCATCTTCCCCATCAACTAATGGAGCAAACGATTTCAGAATGTCCCAAGTGGAGCAATCATTATAAACTGGAAGCCGCATGGCCGGCGGCGGCTTAAGTAGGGGAGGCCGAGCGCCATTGATTCCACTTCTGGAGCTACATCCAGTAGCAGTAGCCATACGGCGCTCGTTTAGCTCGCGAAGTTCGGTTTTAGGCGTCTCTTGCTCGAGGGTAATTCGAACTGAATCCTTAACCCTCCGACACAGTTCCTCTTCCATATCTTTGTCTTCCTTATC